TGCTTGAGTCTTTACAGATACTTTTCCAATTTTGCCAACACCATTTGTTAAAAAGGCTGTCATTTCCCCAGTTGACTGATTTCATCTCCTTGTCAAAAATCAGTTGAGTATAGATAGATGGGCTGATCTCCGGATTCTCAATTCTATTCCACTGATCCACATTCTAAATTCTTGAGGGGCAAAAAAAAAAAAAAAAGACTGGCCAAATTTGGGACAGGTGTTCATCTAAGACAAGAGTAGTGTGGCCAGAATGACAAGATCCAATAGTACAAACATAACAGGTGAACATTCATCTCTGAGTTAAGGGGTTGGGTTGTTTTCAGAGAAAGAAGAATACATTATTTCTTGGAAGACACTACAAGATACATTTATTTCCATTATGCCCTGATTTATGACAATATTCTGCTTAAAGTCAATTTCTACATCATTGGAAAGATGTTCCTCTGATCTCTGTCATAAGTTCAGAAAGCCATTAAAAGTGTCTTTTTTTCTGACAAGAAGTGTTGTTAGGTGTCATGAAGTTGTGGACAATTCATAGCGACCCTGTGAACTCTGTACCACCCTGATCATCCCTGACACACATGAGCCCATTGCTGCAGTCACTGTGTCAGTTATTCTCACTGAGGCTTTTCTTCTCTGTTGCTGACTCTGCACCTTCCCAGCATAATATCCCTCTCCAAGGAATAGACTCTCTTCAAAACATGCCCAAAGTATGTGAGACAGAACTTCTCCATCCCTGCCCCCAAGGAGGACTCTGGCTGCACCTTCTCCAGGACATATCTATTCTTTTTGTGCGTCCATGGAATATTCAGTACTGTCCTCTAACATCACAACTCAAAGGCATCAATTCTTTTTCTGTCATCCTTATTCAGTGTATAGTTCTCAGATACATAGCAAATGATTGGCAAAACCATGGTCCTAATCAGGTGCACCTTAGTCATTAAACTGGCATCACTGTTTTTCAGAACTCTGGAGAAGACTTTTCCTGTGCTATACTTATCATCCCAACTGCTGGTACCAATGATGCTGATTTTGGATTCAAGTAAGATGAAATCATTGATAATTTCTATTTTTTCTCCATCTATCATGATGTTGCCTATCAGCCCAGTGGTGAGGAATTTTGTTTTCCTGACACTGAGATATAATCCACATTGAAGACTGTAGTCCTTGATCTGCTGCAGCAAGTATTTCAAGTCCTCCTTACTTTTACCAAGCAAGATTGTGTCACCTACACAGCTCCAAATCCCCTCTTCTGATCTATTCATTCGATTTTATAATTTTAATGTTAAAATAAGTTCTCTTATACATACAATTATATTGTGCATGAGTCAGAGTTCTGTAGAGTTTGCTAAGATAATTCAGCTTCCTGATACTTCACGTTCTCATCACCAGAGGCAATAGCTTTAGCAGTTTGAATTTATTTGGTAGATACTACCTTTCTACCTCTAAATAACAAGTGTATGTTATTAAATCTTCATTTTTTAACTTTACGCTGGATCTCTTTCCTTCTCACTACAAAAGAGGAGGATTTAGGGAGCATTTTCTCCCATCCCCACATGCATGCTTCCTTTCTACATTTCCTGTTAGGGGTTGAATTGTGTCCCCTAAAAAAAGATATTGTTGGGGTCCTAGCCCGTGATTCCTACTAGCATGTCCTTATTTGGACACACAGTCTTCGAAGATGTTATCAGTTTACATGTGGCCACATGGAGTACTCACTGTCATTGCCGGGAGTAGGAACTCAGCTCACCTTTCTGTGGCTTTTCTCGGTTGTCAATCTCCTCGGAGTTGCAAATTGCTCCTGGTGAGCAGCTGGTGGATTCAAAGTGCTATAGAGGCATTGTTTTTGTGTTAGCAGCGACACTACTTACGGACTTGAGGTTTAGGGTTGGTGGTGGTGTTA